GTCACGTATTCTAGAGCCTCTCCAACGACGACTGCGCACCGCAAAGAGAAACATCTGTGACCAACACCAGTCTATGGCTAAACACAAATATTTTGAAGGCATTTTGACATTCCCACTTAGCAAAACAAAAGTAGGAATTCCCCCGGCCTCAGAGACCTCCACAGACATTGGGTTTTCAACCAGGTTTACAGCACTAAGCATGGATTTTCTGTGGAGCAGGTCTCAGATCCAAAGCAGTTGGTGAACTCTACCAGTCTTGTTGCTGTTGTACCTATGGACACATCTTGTCTGGAGGGTCAATGCTGTAGCATGCAGAGTGCACCCCTGGGTAAGTGAAGACTTTTCTGTCCTAGTGGAGTGCACAGCAGCATCTTCCAGTACTGATGTCTAGCCAGTAAGGACGACATTTCCAGGTCAATTCCAACTTGACTGTGCCTTGTGTTGTTCACAATAGGGTTTTATTGTCTAGTTTTAGTGAGAAACAAAGAGCAATGACACTAACCTACATTGTTTTGGTGGCTTCTCAGGCTACCACACCAGTAACTGATAGGAAGTAGCCCATAGCTAGCTTTGAGATTTTCATTTACTAACCCATTTATTTACACATTGAAGGTAGATTTGACTAAACTCTCCCTTTTAAATGTTTTTCTAAATTGGCTTACAAAGTAGTGGGTTTCCAAAAGCCTTCTCATATATCCTTAATTTTGGTTAACCCACTGCTACCTCCCTACCCCTCATCCTGCCACCTCCTCCCCAACTTAAGTCTTTAACCCCCTGAATCCCCTTCTCTACCTTCCATAGCACATGTTCTGTTCTACGCTCCCTTTTGTGTCTTCCCTTTCCCCTATTCTGGATCCTTTGTAGCATCCTGACCTCTACAGACACAGCAGGTTAAACACACAATTTTAACAATTTCAAGTTAGGAACCACATAAGAGAGAGAATGTGTAGCTTTGTCTTTCTGGACTTAGGCTGCCTGCTTAGTATAACATGTTCTAGTCCCATCTACCTTTCTGTAAATTTCATTCTCTTAAAGTGATATTAATTTCATGTGTATCTGTACCGCATTTCATCATTTGTTCACCAAGTGATGAACATCTCAACTAATTCTATTTCCTAGCTATTATGAAGACAGCAGTCATCTTGCATGTGCATGCATCTCTGTGGTAGGACATGGCGTCATCTGGATATATTCTCAGACTTGATATAACTGGGTCACATGACAGTTTCCAGAAAATGACCACTTTTCAGTAACTAACAGTTCAGAATTTCTGAAGTTTTACTAAGGTAGTTGTAAAATGCACCAATCAATTGGAGCCAGAAATGTGGTTAATTAACTGGTTAATAAGACCATTGATGATTAAATTTGGCTAAAATACTTTTTAAAAAAGTTTAATTATCAACTTTGGACTTCGAGTGTTGAATGAATCTCAATATTCAAAGATAATGTCAAAATAATAGGGTTTGTGGTCTGCCAGCTGTCTCTACTTCAAATGTTTATGAAAGCCATTTTACAGTGAAAAACTTTGATTTATGTCATGGGTGTTTTGCCTGAATGTATGAATGTATGTCTATGTGCCATACGTTTGGTTGTTGCCCAGGAAGGCCAGAAGAGGGCATTGGATCCCCTGGAACATCATGTGGGTGACTGTAACATGAGGGCCTGTTTGTCAGGGTTTTTGTCCTGTTCAGTTCCCATAGCCAGCAAGTCCCAAAGAAAATCACACAGAGGTCTCCATAAGATTATAAACTGATTGGCCCATTAGCTAAGGCTTCGTATTAGCTCTTATAATTTTTATTAACCCATTATCCTTATCTGTGTTAGCCACATGGCTCAGTACCTTTCTCAGTGGGGCAGATCACATCTTGCTTCTTCGGTGATCTGGGCAGGAATGGGAGGAATGGGCTTCTACCTTCCCAGAATTCTCCTGTTCTCATTGCTTCCTCTACTTCCTGTCTGGTTGACCCACCTATTCTTTCCGCCTGGTCAATCAGCATTTATTTAAAACATGATTGACAGAATACAGACAATTCTCTCATACCAGGTGACTGGATCAAGCCCAGTCCTGTAGAGGACCAGCCAGTGCTCTTAACCACTGAGTCACCTCTCTAATCCATTCTACAGTTTTTTTGAGGTGAAATTCCAGTTCAGAATTAGATGACTTTAGAAAACATCTAGTTTGTGCTGTAGGTAGGAAGCGATGGGAAGGATGTATGTCAGTTAATGTGTGAGTGTTGCTTGGACCTGTCTTGTTTTCTACCAAAGGGTGTTGTTTCAGATGAGGAAACATAGTAAGTATTGGCATGTATTTGTGCTGTCCACCTTCCAGAAAGGTCAAGAAAGTTTGTAAGTATCACATGTGTTTGTGCTGAGCAACTTCCAGATATTCTTAACGAATGACTCTGTGCACCATTCTTTGCACAGAGAGCTGATATTTGAGAAAGTATTTGTATTAATTCAAGAAAAATATGATGTGTCTATTCCAAGCATCACTCTTGTTCTTAAGTGTATGTATTTTCATTTGTGGAGAAACTATACAAGGTAGTTGTGTTCATCATTCTATGGTAAGAATTTTAGCAATTTTATTTTAGCTTTCATGATGTATTAGAAACTTGAAAATATACATTATACAACAAATATAATTTATGTAACAAAATATTTGTTTCAAGAAGTTGATACTTCTTAAATGTTACATTTTAAAATAAAAAAACTAAATTTAAGATAAACTTTTAAAGAAAGTTCTCAATTGTTTAAAGATATTTTAATTCTCTGCTTTCCTATTACTTTTGATAACGAAACATCTGATGGTTAGTAAAAATTACTCTTTAAAAAGAAAGTCAATCTGTCCTTAGCCATTATAGGATGAAAAAAAAAAGAAAAGAAAACTAGTCTGCAAATCATGACATTTCAAATAATGGCCTTTATGTGATTAATTAGGATGCACAAATATCTTATCTAAAACAACCTCAGAGTGACAGCTGGTATGCAGTGTACAATGTTATGAATAGCTGAGGGCTTGAATGCCCATATACTGAAGTGTTGGTTTGCATTTTTTTAAATGTTAAAAATGTATTTACCATTATATTAAAACCAAATGCCAAGATTCTGTGGTTGAAACAAGAAAAAATTCCAAGACAACTGCACAGATACTAATGATTTAATTCTTTAATACATTTACTGAAATTTAAGAGCCTTACTGAAAAAAGAATATCTATTAAAAACATCAAGTCTGTCAATTGTTATAGAAGTGTAAAGAAAGAACAAGAAGTTTAAAATAGTATGAGTAACAAAGTACAAGTTCTTTCAAAGGCAAATATCTTTGTAATGTAGTTAATTCTATCCCTGTCTCTCAGTGTCTAGAAAATGGGACACACTTGTTACAGCATTCAGGAGGACAGTTAAATAGACAATCTTACTCAAAGATCGTCTTGATAGTGAAGAGACTAATCACATGCAAACAGATGGAGATACTTTTAATGTCATGTGTTATTATCCTTTTAATGATATGTTACTGATTTTTACAAAAAAAGTTCCATAATTTTAAATTTTATCCATGATAACATTAAAATCTACAAGTAGTTATCTTTTCAAATCTTGAATTATTTTATATAAAAGCAAATCTTCCTACACATTTTTTCTACAATTTTAAACATTTGGTGGCAGAAAATTTACTTGGCTAGAGGCATTGGTGATATCTCTGAGGAATTTTCTTCGTCCGGTGACAAGTGAGTCCTGTCACATACAAGTTTGTAGACAGTAAGGGTCTACATGGAGTCCTAGGAGTGGAAGCAAATCCTAAGCAAATTTGTTTGGAGTTTGAGAAGAAAAAGAGATAATACAAGTACTGAATATGCTTACTGACCAAAATTAAATTGTGCCCTTAAAGGTTATCTGTGAGAATTTAAACTAATATATATTATATATTTTAATATATATTAAATATATTTTAAATGGTCATCTTCATTGTGTATTTCGATCTGTTTTCTGCAGTCTTCTTCCTGTGTAGAAGGTCTAACAGTGTATTTTCACATACTTTTCTCATTTCTGTTTCACAACTCAAAGGATTCTCTAGCAGGTAACAATGTAGAAGATAAAGCTCATCTCAGAGATGAAAGTCAAAGGAGCAATACCGTGTGCAAGGAAGATGTAAGGAGTCATATGATGCTAAGACCAAAGTAACTTGAGAAGAAAGACATTTTATGTGTAAGAAGTATTAAAAATTACCACAATTATAATGAGATCAATCTTTGACACTAAAAAATGTGTCTTTTTTATATGGATTATTTTATATACATCTTATCACCCAAGGCCAAATGTGTTCTGTGTTTGACACTTAATAAGTATGTGCTTAATAGATATTTGTTAAGTCAATACAATCTTTCCTCCAGAGAGTCTGGCGGTATCAACAGACCATAGAAAGAAGGGCAAGACAAAGGGCTCTGATAATATTAATACATTGATTTCTGAGTGGCTGCTTTACTCCTTGCTTCAGAATGTTGGAAATTTCACCTTAGTTCCTCCCACCCACTACAGGGTGTTTCTAAGAACAAACACATTACTTCTAGAAGCTACAGCAATAGTGCAATAAATACAATACAAATCTAGTCATTTAGTGTCAGAAAGGATCATAATTACAGTTTTAGTTTCAATGTAAGAGCAATTTAGTCACCGTGCAGTAATTCCTATCATTTATCAAATACATGGGGTGCGGTGAAGAAAGGCAGCCTGGGATGGGTGGAGCTAATAATGTGACCTAGTTCCTCTGGATAGTCATTTATAGGTTAGAGTGTAAAAGGCTGACTTAAGTGTGCTCAATTTCTGTGCAACATAAGTGTCCTGAGCTCCAATCCATGGACTCACTTTGGTCCCATTGAGCCAGTTGTACAAGTGCAGGGAAAAAACTAAGAGAAAGCAAGAGACTGAAAATAAAAATGAGAGAGAAAGCTGGATGAAACAGACTCAGAGCTGTCAGACGTTATTAGCATCGTTCTACTGCCAGGATGAAGTAAACCTAGAGACAAATACCATTTTAAAGGTACTCATGAGATAATGTGTGGGGCTTTTTGCTGGAAAGAGTGTCATTGTCTTTATATGTAAAACTTTCTCAGTCTGAGAAGCAGAGGTAGTTGATATTTATTTTAAAACGTTTTGTTTTGTGTGCATGAATGTTTTGTCTGTCTGTGTGTATGTACATACACCACATGTGTGCAATATCCGAGGAGGCCAGAAGCTGTTGAAACTCTTGAAACTGGAGTTACAGTTGGCTACGAAACACTGTGTCAGAACCAGTTCCTAGTTCTCTACAAGAGAAGCCAGTGCTTTTAATTACTGAACCATCTCTCCAGCCCTGAGGATTTTAGTGACTATGGGACATGATAGTAACAGGATTTCAAATGCCTTAAGGAAATGTATTTTTAGTGTTTGTGCAACCTTTTTTAAAATAAGGAATATTGTATATTTCCAATGAAATCAAAGGGATATATTATACAAGTTCAGCCAGAAACTAACAAACTAGAAATTTAATGTTTATACATTTGTTTATTTGTGTGTGTGTGTGTGTGTGTGTGTGTGTGTGTACGTTGTACTCAGATTTTCAAGTTTAATGGCAGGTGCCTTACCCACTGAGCTGTCTTGCTGACCTCCAAAGCCTTGGTTAAGATTTATTATGTGTATGTATGATAGTCATAGGTGGATGTGATTTTATAAAATATAGTATTAGAAAAAATAAAACAAAGATGTATTTTTAATTAACTGGCATGATATGGAAGTAAATTACACTTGCATTTTGTCTTATCATCTAATAGTAATTAGTGGCTAAGCGGGTTGACACAGGTCACTTGTAATGTAATCCTAGAGATGGAGGCAAGAGGGTCAGGAAGGAGTTAAAAGCCAGTTTGTGCTACATGAGACCCTGTCCCCCACTTCCTATACTTCCTGCCTCCTCCTCCTCCTCCTCCTCCTCCTCTTCTTCTTCTCCTTCTTCTTCTTCCTCTTCTTCTTCCTCCTTCTTTTCTTTCTTCTTCCTCTTTTCTTCTTTTCTTCTTCTTCTAGCTTTTGGAGCCTGTCCTGGAACTAGCTCTTGTAGACCAGGCTGGCCTCGAACTCACAGATATCCACCTGCCTCTGCTTCCTGAGTGCTTTGATTAAAGGCATGCACCACCATCACCCGGCTGAAAACTTCTCATCTCATAGAGTGAAAGTGAGAATAGGCATTAAAAATCTTTTCTTAATTAAATAAATCATTTTAGGGAATCTGTATTATCAGGAAATATAATTTCATTAAGAATGTTGAAACAATTACTTTTTGGCCAATCCCATTTTAAACCAATATGTACTAACTAAAACTTATAAGTTCAAATAAATTGAGATACTATTATTTATTTATTCGAAACCATGTGAAATTCATTCTTTTCACTGCTATTGTTTTATATAAAATGTCATTTTCTTTCTGATTAAGAAAACCTGAAAAATGCTACTTAGAAGAAGTACCCAAAAAACTATTGAGAAACACAATGAATGAGCAACAAGCACCTTTGGGTTGTTCATCTAGCCAGGTATGGGATTCTTTGGCATTCCATTCCATTGCATGTACACATTGGCATAGCTGGCTGAAAGTGCAGTCATTTTATGTTTTAATGTTCTATACCAATGATGCGAGAAGCATTCTAACACAAAGCAGTGAAGCAAGCCTTTGTTCAAGGGGGGGTGAGGCCTGGTGGCAAGAAAACAAACATGGAAAGATAGGAATAATCTGAATGCCGTCAGAATGACATGGGAAGTCTTTCAGAAGAGAAAGCCTGTGAGCTGAGCAATGAGTGATGAGTACGTGCTTTACATGTCATAAGGTTGGTAAGGAGGGGACAGCTTTCCTTTGGAGGGATTCGTATGAGTTGCTACAGGGGTGGGAGGGCTGGTGAGGTTGGGAATGTGTAAGGAAATCTGACTAAGGGAATCAGGAACTAAATCTTTTTTTTAATTGATTTTTATTGAGCTCTACATTTTTCTCTGCTCCCCTCCCTGCCTCTCCCCTCCCCCCTTAAACATTCCCCCAAGGTCCCCATGCTCCCAATTTACTCAGAAGATCTTGTCTTCTTCTACTTTCTACTTCCCATGTAGATTAGATCTATGTAAGTCTCTCTTAGTGTCCACATTGTTGTCTAAGTTCTCTGGGATTGTGGTTTGTAGGCTGGTTTTCTTTGCTTTATGTTTAAAAACCGCCTATGAGTGAGTATATATGATAATTGTCTTTCTGTGCCTGGGTTACCTTGCTCAAAATAATCTTTTCTAGCTCCACCCATTTTCCTGCAAAATCCAAGATGTTATTTTTTTCTGCTGTGTAGTACTCCATTGTGTAAATGCACCACATTTTCCTTATCCATTCTCCAGTCGGGGGACATTTAGGTTGTTTCCAGGTTCTGGCAATGACAGACAAAGCTGCTATGAACATAGTTGAACACGTGTCCTTGTGGCATGATTGAACATCCTTTGGATATATACCCAAAAGTGGTATTAGTGGGTCTTGAGGAAGATTGTTTCCTAATTTTCTGAGAAATCACCACACTGACATCCAAGGGGTTTGTACCAGCTTGTATTCCCACCAGCAATGCAGAAGTGTTCCCTTTTCCCCACGGCCTCTTCAGCATAAATTGTCATCAGTGTTTTTGATTTTGGCCATTCTTACAGGTATAAGATGGAATCTCAGAGTTATTTTGATTTGCATTTCTCTGATGACTAAGGATGTTGAGCATTTCCTTAAGTGTCTTTCAGTCATTTTAGATTCCTCTGTTGAGAGTTCGCTGTTTAGGTCTGTACTCCATTTTTTTTTTATTGGATTATTTGTTCTTTTGATGGCCAATTTCTTGAGTTCTTTGTATATTCTGGAGAACAGACCTCTGTCTGATGTGGGGGTAATGAAGATCTTTTCCCATTCTGTAGGCTGTCGTTTTGTCTTGTTGACCGTGGCCTTTGCTTTATAGAAGCTTTTCAGTTTTAGGAGGTCCCATTTATTAATTGTTTCTCTCAATGTCTGTGCTGCTGAGGTTATATTTAGGAAGTGGTTCCCTGTGCCAATGCGTTGAAGTGTACTTCCCACTTTCTCTTCTGTAAGATTCCGTGTGGCTGGCTTTATGTTGAGGTCTGTGATCCATTTGGACTTGAGTTTTGTGCATGGTGATAGATATGGGTCTATTTTCATTCTTCTACATGTTGATATCCAGTTATGCCAGCATCACTTGTTAAATATGCTTTCTTTTTTCCATTTGATATTTTTTGCTTCTTTGTCAAAAATCAGGTGTTTGAAGATGTGTGTGTTGATAGCCGGATCTTCTATTCTGTTCCATTGATCCTCCTGTTTGTTCTTATGCCAGTACCAGGCTGTTTTCAGTGCTGTAGCTCTGTAGTATAGTTTTAAGTTAGGTATTGTGATGCCTCCAGAAGTTCTTTTATTGTACAGGATTGTTTTGGCTATTCTAAGTTTTTTGCTTTTCCATATGAAGTTGAGTACCAGTCTTTCAAGGTCTTTGAAGAATTTTGCTGGCATTTTTATGGGTATTGCATTGACTCTTTAGGAACTAAATCTTGCTACAGCATGAGCCACTGAAGTGTGCGAGTGAGGAAATGTCATCATTCCCTTAGCAGCTGGTGTGGAAGATGATTAGGGAAGAGCCAAGGGAGGCAGTGAGGAAGGCACCAGTGCCTTCAGAACAGTGAGAGCAGAGCTGCAGGGACAGACAACACAGAAGTCATGACAGACAGAACTAGCTCTTAGGAGATGCTGCTGGGTGGAATGAATGCTGTTTATGCTTTTATTGTGTTAGAACAGTAAGAATCCAATCTAGTGGAGAAGGCATCCTTCTGGCCTAGAGAGGCCTAGAGACAGCATTCATATAATTTAGCTAATATAACCTTGTCTCGTGTGTCTGCGTTTAGGTTAATGAGCTCATGAATCAAATTCCCCTTTTGACCACAGAGGATTTTAGCCAACAGCTGGACTGTTTTTTACTGCCAGCCCATGCAGTCACATGGTGAGAATGCTGGCATTTCAGTATCTGCACACTCCTGTTTTACTACTCAGGATTTTCTGGGCAGCGTGGTGCAGCAGGAGGTTTCGACTGCAGTGCTCCCCGTTTCCTAGCAGTCTGGAGGACTGTTCCCTGCTATCCAGACAGTTACAGCACGTGTTCCTTCAGAAGCTGGAGGACTTTTCCACTGTCTGGAAGCCATGGTGTAAAATGATATCAAGAATCTGTTGACCATCAAGTAACCTTAGGTGCCATGTTCTGAGCATCCTGCCCTGGCATTTTATTGCTAATTACTCTTCACAAAGAAGAGGCTTCCAGAGTCCCTACCTAATCTGTGAAAAGTGTTTTTTTTTTTGATGTTTCAAAGTGAGATATAACATTTTAAAGAAAGAAGAAATTTAATATATAGATAAATACCAAATTAACTTTTTTGCACTAAAATATAACATTTATTCCTATGTGCTTCTAAGAAAGTGCTGTGTAAATCTTACAAATATGAATTCACATAAAAATTCCAAGCAAATAAATATTACTGAGGCTCAAAGATGTGATCCTAAGTTTTTTCTCTGAAGTGGGAGGGAACAGACAGGAATTGGGCATCTCCTGGTTCCTTTATGAAGACAGGCACTGTCATGTGTTACTTTAAAAAGACTTATTGTCTCATCCTCTTCTGAGTGAAAGGGCGAGGTGTAGCAAGGCATGGAATCCAGTGGCAGGCTGGTCCTTAACCTTCAAGCTGCTAGTTTCCTCCTCAGGAAGTTGAAACCCTTATCTGTCTTTTCTTGTGGGTCTCCAGTACCAGATAAACAGCATCTCAAAGCGGGAGTTTCATGGGGCTCACAGTTTCAACATACACCCCAGCACTGTGGGGGAGGCCTGAGGGAGCTTAAACCCCAGCACTGTGGGGGAGGCATGGCGACAGAAGAAGGAGCATACACCCCAGCACTGTGGGGAAGGCGTGGCGGCAGGAGAGGGAGGCAGCTGCTCACTCTATCTGCAGTCAGGAATCAGAGAGAGATGAGTACTGGGGCTCAGCTCACGTTCTCCCTTTAATTCAGTCTTGCACCTCAGTCCATGGACTCTGTGCCTCCCACAATCAAGTTGCATCTTCCGTTCTCAGCTAAACTTTTCTGGAGAGCATCTCATGGACACAGCCCTAGGTGTTTGTCTCAGGTGACTCTAAAGCCAGCCAAGTTGGCTGTGAATGTTAAACTCTGCAAGTCTAACAGAATTGCTGTGCAGGGCTGGCGAGTAAATCACAAAACCTTCTGAATTATCCTGCGATACACAGCAAGAGCAGCATAGAGCTCCTCTGACGCTCCCAGCCTCAGGTGCAGACACAACCCGAGAAGCCCAGGAAGCTGGCTCACGCTTGCCGACCGATGATGACGAACGAGGCGATGCTCTGCTGTAGGCCAGCCCTTCACTGTGGACTACTTCCGCCACACTCTGAGCGGAGCTCCCTTCGAAGAATGTTTCCTCTCATTTCACAATGCAAACCCCAAAACTACCCCAGAAACAAAGGGAAGCTGAACAAGTTTTTATACTTAGCCTTTTTGTTGAGTTGTTTTCTACAGATTAATGTGTGGTAAGCTCTGTGCTACATGCTTGCCTTTCAAACCTCCAAAAACAAACAAACAAAAAAACCCACCACTATGGCACGGTGAGTCGTGCTATTTTTCCTACATTAGGCAAGCATTCTAAGGCTTCCAGTTAGTCAGTAGTTCTTAGCTAGGAAGTAATAACAGTCACCTGAGTGCGTGATGCCCTGAAACTTGCTTTGGGAGGTGCTATTTGTGACTGAACTTAAGCTACATGCGTGGTGGGCAAGTGATCTATGAGAATGTTACCCCCAACTTCTTGTTCTGATACAGGGTCTTATTAAGTTGCTCAGGCTGCTTTGAACTATGTAGTCAGGGCAAAATTTCCTGCCTCAGTTTCCTGAGTAACTGGAATCACAGGGTTGGAGTTATGTAATTACACTTAAAAATGTACACTAGAATATCTCCAAATAGAATGTAGTACTCCTCGGCACATTGGTATCACATATGTGATTTACAGTTCTCTGTGGAGCTGAGGCCTTTGTGGGTGGCAAGGGCTGCAGCTTTAACCTTTGTAGAAAGGGTACACACTAGCCTTGCTTTGTTTCTTGTTAGTGAAGAAAGCAATTTCTACTTCCCTCCTGCTTATTGGCATTGATGTCTTCAACATACTACAGTCTGAAGTTTGGAATAAAGTAGTCAAGGATGTGTTAATCACAGTTAGCCTACTTATTTCCTTAAGTTTTCTCCTTTCTACCCATCTTTTATATATTAAAGATAAACTTGGGTTATCATAGATTCCTTGGAAAAGAAAATGCATAATTATACAATGAGTAAGGGTTGATCCCAAATGAGACTTTAAAGATTTGTTTTACTTTTACTCATGTGTATGTGTGTGAACCCGTGTGAGTTTATGTGCACATATGTATGCAGAGATCCCCTGGAACTAAAGTTGCAGACAGTTGTGAGCCACTATGTGGGTGCTGAGAACATAACCTGAGCTCTCTGCAAGAGTACTTGGGCTCTTAATTTTTAAGTTTTCTTTCTGACCCCACAAAATGAGACTAAAATTTAAGCAACAATCACTTAATTGTTAAGCCATCACTCTGACCCACAATATGAGACTTTAAACACTAATGACCAAAAGGAATGGTATTTGTGAGGGCTTAACTGCAACTCAAATTCTTTCATTTCTGTTCTTTCATAGGTTTTCTCCTGAGTTCTAAAACTGTGGCAATGTTTTGTTTCTTATATAGGAAAGGTATGGCATCACTGATAGTAGCTGTAGGAACAGTTTCAGACAGCATCATCAATTCTCTGTCGTTATCTCATTGTTTTAGGTGTGCTTGAACATGCACTAAATGAGTAATTTTTTCCCTAGGTTTGGGCTGCACTGATATTAAAGATTCAATTAGCTCTGTCACCAAAACCCCTAGTGGTTTATATATAATCTTTCTAGAAGGATCTAGCTACCCATTTGAGATAAAGTTTTCCCTTATTATACAGAATAAAGTAAACATCAAGCTAACTTAATAAATATTGAAATTACCATTATTTTTATTTTACTTTAAGCATAATTTTGTCTTGAAAATTTTAAATAAATTAGCAAAATTTACAACTCGACAAGGTCGGTTTCCTTTACATCTTCTACTCAGACCATGAATTTCAGTTTCCTGAGTGTCCATAGTTATACCATTTAAAGTAAATCCATTTGCTGCAAAGTTTTATATTATCCTTATGGGCAGAGCTGTGCAATATAAATTCTTGCTTTAATTTAATTTAATGGAGACTAGACAATAATGTGTGATAATGATGTGTGATGATATGAGTCTTACTGAAGTACTCTTACTCTGATTCCTACATGTGCCTATACTTTCTTTTGATGATACATTATTTAACAGTGCGAGACTTTGCTTCAAAAATTTAAAAAGAAATTAATAGAAAAAGTCTTTTACTTGGATATAAGGAAGACTGATAAACTGATCAATGCTTAATTTGAATAATAAGAATTATGCTTTGTCTATCCTTAGTACTTGTCTGCTTGTATTTCTAGTAGGTACCTACTGCACACAGTGCTTATGGACAGAAAGGATATGTGTGTGTATACGTATTTTTTTCTGGGTACTTTCTCAGTGTATAAAAAAATTTATGATCTTTAAAGTTTATCAATAGTTTATATTACACAACAACCACCTTTCTTTCTAAGTAGATGCAAAGAGTTTCTGTTCTTAGAATTAGTACCATGATTTCTCTTGAAATTTATTGACAAGATGTCAAGAAGTTAGGACTTACGTGGGAAATAATTTAAAAACTATCTAAGTCTCTTTGCCTACACATCCCAAACTGGATCTGAACAGCGGTAGAAGGAAAAAGAATTCTAACTTTGCGAGGAGTGGGTTGCATAATTACCTCTTCTGTGAAAAGTGTGGTGCCTGAACTTCCTTCACATTGGTTTTTTATTTCTTTTTTTTCCTGACTCTGTGTGGGAAGTCTCTCGTAGAGTGGATCACTTTGATTTCTTCCCCTGTTGTTTCTGTGGGCCCCAGACAGGTCCATGTCACAGTTTCAACAGAGGCCCCTGTGAACACCTGCTGAGTGGCCACAGCTCATGGCTCAGTATTGAAATAGCAATCTGAACTCCAGTTTGTGGGGGAAAAGAGAAACCAGAGGCAGGCAGACATTTCTAACACTAAAAAACCAGCATTATAATCCAAAGAACAAAGTCATTGATTAAGCCATCAATTTCTGCTATTGCGTGTCAGCGCTGTTACCCCTGAACTGGGGGAAAATGTTGAGTTGAGGAATTACATGATAACCTTAAAATATTGCAGACAGTTGTGTCTTAAAAATCTTATACAGGCTCCAGTTAGGTCAATCATGGGTTTGTGTAAGTGGAAGTATTGCCAGAGAGGATCTAATCTATATGGGAAGTAGAAAAAGACAATCTCTCCTGAGTAAACTGGGAGCATGGGGACCATGGGAGAGGGTAGAAGGGGAGGGGAAAGGAAGGGAGGGGATCAAAGAAAAATATATAGCTCAATAAAAAACTTGAATGCATTTATGAGAATGAAAACTTTCTTGTATTTATTTTTCTATAGGATTAGGGAGGAGTTCTATAATGGCAAATAATGAAGACAATGGTATATTATTTTGGCATTTTCTGGGCCCATTTTAGGTAATGTATGGCATGGATTTCAGAGGAGGAGGATGGACAGCAGTTCAGAAAAGGCTCGATGGGGCAGTTGGCTTCCAGAGGCCATGGTGTGATTACCTGGATGGACTTGGAGACCTTTTAGGTCAAATTTTATGTATCTGTGCTTTCTTTTCTCTTTCTTTCTGGTGTGATAAGTCTGAACTGCACCAGCATTAGTCAAATCAAGAGTGGGTAAGTCTATGTGAATGTAAAAATATGAGTTAAATTCTACTTTCTTATGCCAAATTATTTTTAAAAACTGTTTTCAGTTAAGACCTAGAAATCTGGACTGGAGACATGTCTTAGCAATTAAGAATACTGGCTCCTTCTCCAGTGGACCTGGGTTCAGTTTCCGGGTACCACATGGCAGATAACACTGTCTGTAACTCCTGTTCCATGGAATCGAAAATCTTCTTCTGGTTATCATGAGCCCAAATACACACAAGGTGTCCACATGCATGCAAAAACACCTGTAAACACACATTTTAAAAATGAGCTAGAATTTTTTAAAGATGAATTGAAATATAATTTGAGTGAAAATTCTCCTCTGGATGTTTGTTATCTGTACCTAGCAGTAGTTGATAGGTGCTTCCCAATTGCTTGTGGGATGAGGAAAGAAAAAAAAAAGAGGCAGGGTTGTCATAGACTTAAAATACAATGAAATACAGATAGAATCAAGGTATATGACCATTAAAGTCAAAGTCTTTAAATTGAATGTAATTTTGCAAAACTATGATGTACATTACTATTCTCTAAATTGGAAGAGAGTTTTGACTAAGAAGTTCTATACCATATACTGTTTGTGCAAACTGAGACTGTTTTATATTTAATAGAATTAAAATATATTGGATATCTAATAAAATGTGCTGGTAATGCTTAAATATGAGATTGGAGTAAAACTGAAAGAAGCTTAAGATATACAAAGACCATGAAACTAAAAGTTCCTGGAGAAACCCATCCTGCAATGTGTCCACTTTTTCTTCTACTTATTCTTTTCAGTTCCAACAGGGTGGTAGCTAAAATATCCATGGAAAAGAACTTTATATACTAGCCATAGCTTTCTGAGTTTCAATACTGTCTGTCTCGTTATCTTCTAACCCTCTGAAATTTTATACCCTGTAATTTCATAATTTAAGTAGGTTGTAGCTAAGAATGTCCACATTCAGTCCACATTGTGGATATGGAAAGATAGAAAGTCAGGGGCTAAGAGTGCTTGCAGTAACATTGAACAAGTTAGAGAGTCTGTTAATATCATCCACCTTGGATCTATGGTTGTCTTTGAAATATCGACTCTAAATCTGGGGAAGCTTCAGTACGGCTACATTTTGTTTCCATTCATAGATTAATGGCAAGCTGCTTTTAAACAAAGAAATGCTTATTTATAAGGATTTTCCAAGGCAGAAAAAGCAATTTCAGCTGAGTGCTTTCAGGAAATGTTTCTTAAGGAGCAGCTGATTTGCGATTAAAACTCCTACTTTCACTGGGTCACATCATTTGTTAGTTGACGTAAGACTTCAACAAGTTTTCTGTTGACATGCCGTAAAGGTAAATCTTGACTTTTTATTTAGTCTTTAAATACACTTTTAAGTTGAATTTGGGGAGATAGAAATGAAACAATTTGGTTCTGTTCAGGTTAATGAATTAACAAAATAAGTAAGTTATGTGGACCGCGATTTCTGTTGACAGAGGTTTCTTTGCAGTCATTCAGTCCCAAAGAAACACACAGAGGCCGACATTAATTATCATCTGATTGGCCTATTAGCTCAGCCTTCTTACTAACTCTTATAATCTTGTCTGTGTTAGCCACGTGGCTTGGTACCTCTTTCGGCGCGACAGTTACATGTTGCTTGCTCTGTGTCTGGTTTCCTTTGTGTCTGGGTGACAGCTTCAAATTGAATCTTTCCTCTTCACAGAATTCTCATCGCCCCAACTCTAATTCCTGCCTGGTTACCCTGCCTGTACTTCCTGCATGAGTACTGGCCAATCAGCGTTTATTTAAAATACAAGTGACAGGGTACAAACCATTGTCCCATAGCAAAGTTAAATAATAGCTGATGGATGAGCTGAGCCACACCAGTCCAGAGTCCTGGTGATGGATGAGTCTCCTCAGTTATAAAAATGCTGAATGACATCAACAGTCACAAATGTTCTCATTTGAACTAAATGTCTTAAAACAAAGCATTTCTTTTATAGGAGAATTTTGGCTAGGACTGAAGAAGAGTTTTTACATAGTAAACCAGAAAGATTCCAGTTTTGTGTTTCATGTGGCTTATGCTTCATATGACAATTTTTGGTTAGAAGATGAGCACAATTTTTTAAAATACGTTTAGTACGACATTCAGGAAATACTGGTAAGTTTTTAATTACTAAAATGACACAAAAAACGAGCTATCTATCCCTTGCCCAGTTTTACATAAAGAGAGCCATCACGCAGGACATATGATGATGACATACAGCGATGACTGTAGATTAGAGATCAACGTGTAAGTCAGAAACTCCATTGTGAACACTTTGCTTAACGACCTTAGGTCAGATTTCACATCCCTTAAAGCAAATGCTGTAACCCTAGTGTTCTCATGGATGGAGACCCTGGGACAGGCTGGGTAAGCAGCATCCTATTTTCATGCCTAGGAAGTAAAAGCTTCCAATCCTGTCAGTAAAGAAACCTGAAATGGGAAGTGTCCGGCCCAAGACCTCCTGTGGATCACACCTCTTCCACCCAATCCTAGTCCACAAAGATACCAAAACATGTTCTTTTCATTTTCCCTTCAATGGATTTCCAAAAATTTAACTCACTAGAACTTCAGAGTACTTGATCATAAGTTTGTATTTTGGAGCTGAGTTTTTAAAGACAGTTGAGTGAAGAAATACTAAACTCCACTCACCTGTTTCTTTCTGGTGGTGTACTTGTTAGTTCTATATATTAATGCTAGAAATTCGTAATAGCTATATATCCCTTGGCTGCCAACTAGTCTCGGTACAGTTGCAATACAATGACCCTGAAAGCACAAAAGACGGATAGGCCTTTAGGTTTAAAGAGAACGTGAGAATGATTGCTACCAAGAGATTTTTTTTTTTTTTATGGGAGAATGGGTAGGTTTCAAAATTAGGCGAATGTTAAAGCCTCTTGAAAATATATATCCTGTATAATCAAGTGTGACTGCTTCAGACCAGATGGATGTGCTGGCATCCTGAGAACTACAGACTCAGTGAAAGGAAGGATGGGCTTTTGGCAAGCGAACGTTCGCAAATGGGGCAGCTTGTGTCACAGCATAGAAGAGGAGATGGCCAGCAGGGGGCTGCTTGGTGTGCCTGGAATTCATGGCATATTAGGTGAAAGCTGAAATTCAAGTCTTGATTGATATGGAAAGTTTAAAGGGATGTGAATGTGTGTGTGTGTGCATGTGTGTGTGTATCCATATATATATATATGTGTGTGTGTGTGTGTGTATGTATATGTATACGTACACACACACACACACACACACACACACACACACACACACACACACAAAGTTTCAGTGCTTTACTTCCAAAAGTGCAAAGAATTGCTTCAGCATGGAGTATCCCATGTCAGGAAGCTTATGTGGAGGTCTCCAAAAGGTGGTTATGCTTCTGTTAGAGGATATTTTATTTTCATTATAGAGCTCTTAAATTTCCCATGGTTATTAAGTAGCTTTCAATTGTTGATCAAATTATATATTTAAGTTAAGGAAAAGAAAAGGTACAGTGTAGACAGATATGCAGATAAAATATTATCAGACACAAATTTGACATTGAGCTTGGAGAAAATATAAATATGAACTTGAGCATTTGAGCAAGACCATTGTTTCATTAGAAGTAGAAAAGGGCTAGGGAGATGGCTCAGTCAGTTAAGTATCCACTACAGAGGCACAAGGACCTGAGTTCAGGTTCCCAGAACTCATGGAAAAAACTGTGTATTACAGTACAAACTTGGAGCATTATGGACAGGCAGATCCTTGAAGCCCATTGGTTAGCTAGCCTAGCCTAACTAATGAGTCAAAAGGTAAAGGTATGTGTTTAGGTCAGAGGAACCTTAGACAGACAGTTCTCTTTTGCCAGTATGTTAGTTCTGGAGATTGAATCTGGTCATCAGACTTGACAGTAATGCTTTTGCCTATTGAGTCATTTTTCCGACCCCATTGGGTGAACTTTTGAAAGGACCTGCACAGCATAGGTGCTGAAAATTATATTGCATTTGCAGATGCAATACTTCAGTCAGTGTCTTTGTGTGCCATAATATGCGGAGTCAGGGACTTCACTGGCCAGTAGAGTTGGGTTTGAGATATATCTTACTATTGAAGTGCTTCAGGCTCCACAAAATATTTACCTCAAGAGATTCCAAACATTCAAAGCAAAATGAACAACTGTAGGTCTTGGCTTTCTAGATACTTCACATAGCTTCTCTTTTTGCTGAACATATTAATCAAAAATTTCATGGAGGTTAAATGTAGGTATGCGTTTGATAAGAATCTTTTAACTTCATGTAACTGTATAAAGCATAATATAGTTCCTGAGCCTGCAATTTAATTACTAGCTGGAATGTCTCAGCCAAGAAGCTTTATCCTTGAAGGATCTGGTGAATATCAGGCATGATAGTCACACAGTGTTCCGTGTAAGCTCCTTAAAAATGATCAGTCTACACAGATGTGAAGAGCCATGGGGGATAGCACAACTCAATAGCACATAAGAATTTTCATGAGCACCCTGGGCATGCTACAGGAACATTATATCTCCAAATGAAAGCAAATTATGTTGCAGTTACAAATCTAATATTCTCAAGGGTAAATGCTTCACCTTCATCCATAATTGTTTTTCTAAAATGAAAATCTACCATGAAGGGGATGAAAAGATGACTCACTGGTTAAGAATATTTGCCATCCTTCCAAAGGAACAGGTTCAAAGCCCAGCACTCACATGGGGCTCACAACTGTCTGGTATTCCAGTTCCAGGGGATCCAACATACTCTCTAGCCCCTGTGAGCACTCCATGCATGTGGTGCACGTATATGCAGGCCAAACAGTTATACACATAAAAAAGTAAAAAGAATGCTAAAAACCCATTATGTAAAAAAAAAAAACATAGTGTGTAAGTTGTTTTATTTGTTTTTTTTTTTAAATTATCAGTCACCGTTCAGATCACTTTCAAGTATTACAGGTACATGTACCATAATCTGATTTTATATAGCCAAGCTTCCATGCTGGTTAGTCTGTGTATTTAAAGACACTGTTAATGCTTTGTAAGGTTTGACACATTGTGTGAGAGAGATTTTCACAGGACAAATAGTGCAAAAAAAAAACCCAATTGATTCTGTTTCTAGATTCAGTATTTCTGTATAACTAGATGATAATAATTGAAATAAAAATTTTCTGAATTCATTTTGTTTTTAAATAATCCGTTTTATGCAGGTGCTGCATTCCGGGGCTTCAGGGAAGATGATAACCAGAATACAATGCCTTCCAGCACCTCAGATGTGGCTAATGATGGGTGCCGCCCTGCTTGTCAGTCAGTCACCTCCATAACAACACTGGCTGGCGGTTCAACCAGTGCGGTCTCACGAACCCAAATGGCATCCAGCGTGCAGCTGGGACTCAGTAGGGTACATGGACCAAAACCAGTTCTGCTGTCAATATTAGATCCGCTTCAGTGAAGACTAGAAGGACTTACAACCCTATTTTAGTAGTCTTATTTTAAACTGTAGCACAATTTCCATAGTTAATTTTGAAAACGTGTTAACTTTTTTTTTTACATAGTTTTTTACTTTGAGTTTAACATATTAGCCAAAATTGAATTGAATAGAGATGCCATCTTAGTGTTATGGGTTTAGTTAGTAAACTTCAGCTTTGCAGCACTTATAAAAGCAATCACGGCTCATCAAGGTATGTTTTTTAATTGGCTAATTAGCATTTTGTGATTGTTTGCAAGATTCATAGTGTTTTTTTATAAACATGTATTGAAAGACCTGAATAAATCCAGATCCCCCTAGCAGGAATAAATAGAGCCAAAAATCTAAGCAGGGAGGAAAGAATCAGAAATCTAGGATTAGCAGGTTCAGTGACTCTGTTTCAGGAGCTAGCTGAAGATAAAGTTAGATTGTAATCTTGAGAAAAATCTCGAGAAACAGGAAGTTGACCCCTTGTGATTATCATTGGTATTTTTGGAATACTCTGTTTCAGGAACTAACTGATCTTGAAACAGGGATTTGCCCCCTTGTGATCATCACTGGTATTTTCAGAATTTTCTATGACGCCCTCCTGATTACTGGGCTGTGGTTTCTTCCCTTAAAAACTTCTTCTCCCAGATGCTTGGGGTCGAAGTCCTTCCCTGCGTGGGTTATGAGTCTTGACCCCAGTGCACTGGTTCCTGTCTTGTCAAATAAACCTCGTGTGATTGCAGCAAGGACGGTCTCTCGTGAGTTACTGGGAGGGTCGTGTTATCCCAAGACTTGAGTAAGAGTCTCCCCACACCGGGGATCTTTCAGTATTAGAAGATTTTTTATTAAATAAATCATTTCTGAGTTACCCAGTGTTTTCTCAGATCTTTGAGGAACAAAGTCGGCCTACTTTGTATCTGAGAATGACTCTGAACTTTGGGTCCTTCTGTCTGTAACTCCGGAGTGCTGAGATTGCTGGCACGTGCCGCCACGTGTGCTCTATGCAGCGGCAGAGATGCGACCTAGGGTTTTGTGGATGCTAGCAGACAGTCTGCCATCTGTTCTTTTTTTTCTTATTGATATTTATTGAGCTCTACATTTTTCTCTGCTCCCCTCCTTGCCTCTTCCCTCCCCTCTTCAACCCTCCCCCAAGGTCCCCATGCTCCCAGTTTACTCAGGAGACCTTGTCTTTTTCTACTTTCTACTTCCCATGTAGATTAGATCTATGTAAGTTTCTCTTAGTGTTTTTATTGTTGCTTAAGTTCTCTGGGATTGTGGTTTGTAGACTGGCTTTCTTTGATTTATGTTTAAAAACTACCTATGAGTGAGTACATGTGATAATTGTCTTTCTGTGTCTGTGTTACCTCACTCAAAATGTTTTCTAGCTCCATCCATTTTTTCTGCAAAATTCAAGATGTCATTATTTTTTTCTGCTGTGTAGTACTCCATTGTGTAAATGCACCACATTTTCCTTATTCATTCTCTAGTCAAGGGGCATTTAGGTTGTTTTCAGGTTCTGGCTAGGACAAACAAATCTTCTATGAACATAACTGAGCATATGTCCTTGTGGTATGATTGAGCATCCTTTGGATATATACCCAAAAGTGGTATTGCTGGGACTTGAGGAAGGTTGTTTCCTAATTTTCTGAGAAATCGCCACCACACTGACATTCAAAGGGTTTGTACCAGCTTACATTCCCACCAGCAATGCAGAAGTGTTCCCTTTTTCTCACAACCTCTCCAGCATAAATTGTCATCAGTGTTTTTGATTTTATCATGAATAATAATTTTGTTTTTATTTGCAGTATATTTACTGTACATATATCCTGATCAGTTGTACTCTAAAACTCTTTTAAATCTTTTTAATTAGTTGTTTTGAAACAGGGTTACTCTATGTAACAAGCCCTAGCTGTCCTGGAAATAGATCTCTAGACCAGGCTGGCCTTGAACTTACAGGGATGAATGTGCCTCTGCCTCTCAAGTGTTGGGATTAAAAACATCTGCCACTACCACCCAGCCCTAATTACAATTTTTAATGTATTTTAAAGCTTTACTTGATAACTCAGCCATTCTAGAACTCATTATATGGCCCATACTATCTTGGAAGTCACCATATAGCTCAGGCTGGCCCGGAACTTGGGCAATCCTGCTTCAACCTCTTGAGTGCTAGGTTATAGGTATGAGCAGCTGTTATTCCTTTGGGGTAACTTTAAGAACTAACCACGCCCTCTCCCAGCGACTTCTGACCTCCTCTCGCACTTAACACTTAACACTCTCTCTCTGTTGTCTCGTGTGTCCCCCCCCCCGTCTCTTGGTGTGTACACATGTGTCTCTGTCTCTCCCTATGTTTCTCTGATTTCCTCTTTTTAAGTAATAAATATCTCCCCCTCCTCTAAATAATAAATGTTTAGCTTTATGTATAGCCTTATGTCCATTTACTCTCCTGTCCACCGCATCCAGCCGCCTGACTCTGCCGCTTGCCCGGACACCCTGCACTACTCTGGTGGCAGCCTCTGCCTGGCTCACAGGCCGCCCGGGGCATCCCAGCATCATAATGTCTTTTTAAAGAACAATAGCAGCCACATCTGGATCTTAGCTCTTTTTAAGTCAAGTGATATACACTGTGAAGTGCATGGTGAGCATGATGAGTCATTGGTCTAGATGTGCTTGGGAGAAATCCTGTTTCCTCCGTGGTTTCTAAGGAAACGGAAGGTAATGATACCACAAAGTCAATTCAGGAAACATTCTAGGCCAGAAATCAGTTGGTGATGAAGAGTAGGAAAGACAGCAAAGGGCAAACTGTTCTTTTCATGTGATGTCACAGGCTAAGAGCTTCCTTGTAAAACACACACATGCCAAGAATAGCATTTGACATAATATAACTGCTCAGTTAATTAACTTGTCATTAATTATCACAACATCTATTTTGTTGGTATTTACCCAGTATTCGCACATAAGCTGGGAAACGAGATAATCCACACCTTTGTAGACTACCTTGCTGAAGGAGCAGTTGGGGAAACAGTTTGTCTATCTCTTCAAATATCACATCCCAGACACACGGTTATGAATATCTGATTAGAGATGATATTTAATGTGGGCTAGGTATCTGACACTGTGACATATCATGCATGGATCTCAGTTCTATGATGTTAGTCTGATAAAGGTGGTTAAACTGTGTAGACGCACAATGATATCCCTTACATGCTAGTGATGTGGAACTCGAGGATAGGCCTTGTCTTTTTGGCCTTTTCACTGAAATGCTGGTGAGGAGGGCAATGCTGCTCACATATGCTGTCTGGTTCTGTCCTAATCTGTGTCCCATCACACCATGTTATCTTGTATCAAATTTTCTGTGTAAAGAACAAATTGATCCTTATGTCACTTCTGAAACAACTTTTAAAAGATGTTCTAAAGGAAGGATTTAGAAAGGCATGCAGTGATGTAACAGTTGATTGGAATCAGCTTGAACCAAGCTTGCCGTTGGTGTTCACAGTGGCTCACTACCTGAGGAATGACATGACAGAGTCATGGAACCTGTGCTTCAGATTAAAATAATAAACCTCAGAAAGTTTGCAGATGCAGAAATGAGAAAAACTGATAATGTCGAAAATGCAAAAGGCTACTTCTATTTTAGTGTAGCGATGTTGTTTTCAGTAAATGCTGGGTTTAAGAAATCAAATATTTGCTATGTGGCACCAAGGAATGTAATGCATTGAACAGCTGTGGAGGGACTTCAGGCATTTAATTTTCCAGAAATACTAAAGCATTTTTATTCAGTGAGGCTAGGCTTCTGAAATGGCAATAAATGGCATAATAAAAACTTTAGTTAAGGTTATATAATGTTTAAAGAAAACTTCGGAAAATAATTTTTTAAAATTTCATTTTACATTCCAACCAGTTCTCCATCCCAACCCTCCTCCTACCCTCCTTCACCTTGCCCCTAGCCCACCCCCATCCACTCCTCCCAACAGATAAGGGCTCCCATGGGGAGCCAACAAAGTCTGGCACATTAAGTTGGGGCAGGACCAAGCCCCTCTCCCCTGCATTAAGGCTGAGCATGGCATCCCACTATAGGGAATGGGCTTCAACAAGTTAACTCATGCACCAGGAATAGATCCTGGTCCTACTGCCAGGGGTCCCTGAGACAGTCTAAGTTTCACCACTGTCTCCCACATGTGGAGGACCTACTTTGGTCCCATGGAGGCTCCACAGCTGTTGATCTAGAGTTCATGAGTTTCCACGAACTCGGTTCAGCTGTCTCTCTAGATTCTCCATCACGATCTTGACCTCCTTTGCGTACATATTATCTCCCCCCTCTCTTCAAATTGTTTTTGCTGTGCCAATGTATTCAAGGCCACTTCCTACTTTCTCTTCTGTTATCTTCAGTGTAACTCGATTTATGTTGGGGTCCTTGACCACTTGGACTTGAGCTTTGTGCATGGCAATAGATATGGATCTATTCTGGTTCTTCTACATGTTGGCATCCAGCTATCCCAGCACCATTTGTTAAAGATGCTTTCTTTTTTCCATTGTACTATTTTGGCTTCTTAGTAAAAGATCAGGTGTTCATAGGTGTGTGGATTAATATCAGTGTCTTGATTTGATTCCTGTCTGTTTTTATGCCAATACCAAGATGTTTTTATTACTGTAGCTCTATAGTAGAGTTTGAAGTCAGGGATGGTGATGCCTCCAGAAGTTCCTTTATTGTACAGAATTGTTTTAGCTATCCTGAGTTTTTTTATTTTTCTATCTGAAGTTGAGTACTATTCTTTCAAGGTCTGTGAAGAATTGTGTTGGGATTTTGATGGGGATTACATTGAATCTGTAGATTGCTTTTGGTAAGATTGCCATTTTTATTATGTTGCTCCTAACTATCCAAGAGCATGGAAGATCTTTCCATTTTCTGCTATCTTCTTCAATATCTTTCTTTAGAGACTTAAAGCTCCTGTCATACAGGTCTTTTACTTACTTGTTTGGTTAGAGTTACCCTAAAATATTTTTTATTTGTGCCTAATGTAAAGGATGCTGTTTCTCTGATTTCTTTCTTGGTCTATTTATCATTTATATACAGGAGGACTCTGATTTTTTTTTGAGTTAATCTTGTATTCCGCCACATTACTGAAAACATTTATCTTTAATGATATTGTAATTTCATAGTTGCATGTATATGCTATTACAAAAAGTATAGGCAATCCACAAACAGCTCAAAGTAATAACCACCATAGATTTAATAACACCAGGGTGTGTCAGAGTAGCTGATAGCCTGGGAGTTAAGAACTTTATCAGTCTTCTTCCATACACATATGCATGAAAACACTAGACCTATTGTTGTCCAGACAGGTCTAAGTTTAGAAGTAAGGACAGATAAAATCAGTGGTTTGCAAAGCAGAGCCTGTAAGTCAATCCTGCTCCACCGTTTTGGTCAATAAACATTCACTGGAATGCAAGCATGGCCTCTCACTTCTGTCTATATCTTCTTTCATGTTACAGGAACAGAGTTAATGAACCTTTATCAAAACTATGCATTATGAAGGGGATGCTGTCGTCCATATGCATTATAAAGGGGGCACTATCATCCATATGCATTATAAAGAGGATATTATCATAATCATTTTATAACAATGAAAATCTAGGCAAATCTTGGATTAGATTTAAGATGAGGAATTGAGAGAATCCATCAGAGATTAAGCTCATGGGACAAGGAAGATCTCTATACCTCTATCTATGTTTATATATTGGATCTTGACAGAGAATCCCAGAGTAAGTCAGAATTTGTCCATCTTAGGCCAAATTTCAAGGCTTATTCCATAGCAAAGTTCCTCTTGCCCAATTTCTTCTTTTTTTTCAAGAGAGACAAGGGGTCCCATCTGTTCCCTGAGAGTGGCACATCATATACTTAACTCCGGAGGCAAATAACAGACATCCAGACTCTTTTCAAGGTTAGTTGCTATGACTTTGTGGTATCTTTGGAAAGACATGCCTGCAACAAACATCCAGTAGGCTATTTTAGAGAGCTGCCTGTGACTTTCTAGAGAATATTCCTTGATAGTGGCAAATGCTTTTATCAGAAGGTTTTGTATTTCAGATTCCCATAAGGGCCAATAGAATTGGCTTCAAGTTATTGGCCATTAAAAAGCAGTCAGTAGGCAGTCTATATAATTTTAAAGATAAGCTTCTCTGAATGTCAGTAGACTCTATGACCTAGGTCTGTTCTAATCTTATTTAAGGCGCTCATGCTTGGTGCGGGATAATTATCTGTATTCTGTCAATCATGTATTTTAATAAAATGCTGATTGACCAGGGAGGAAGTATAGGCAGGTCAACCAGACAGGAAGTAGAGGCGGGGCAATGAGAACAGGAGAAGGCTCGGAAGGCCCATTCCTCCCATTCTTGCCCAGACCACCAAGAAGCAAGATGTAACCTGCCCAGCTGTGAAAGGTACCGAGCTGTGTGGCTAGCATAGATAAGAACAATGGGTTAATATAAGCTACAAGAGCTAATAAGAAGACTGAGCTAATGGGCCAATCAGTTTATAACCTAATGTAGACTCTGTGTGATTTTCTTTGGGGCTTGTCAGCTGTGGGGTATCTGGCGGGACAGAAACCCCAAGAAGCTGGCCCTCCATGTTACACATGCTGGTGAGTACAGATAGGAATCTTTGGAATTGTATTGCTACTGTACAGAACTGGTTCTGAAGAGTCACAGAACTGTTTATATTGGTATCTCCTCAACCTTGGCCTCTCCCTTCCCCACCTTGTTAATGTCACCCCTGACAGAGAAATTTTTCTATGGGTCTATTCTTATTAATTCTTGAGAAGTTTCACATGTGAAGTCTTGGGACTCCTCTGTGTTCAACTAAAAGGTTTGCAGCTCCTAGGTACTAGATTTTCCCTGTAAGTGACTCTTGGCTGATGGTCCTCCTTGACAGTTCCTTTCATGGATTCTCACTTCAGTCTTTCACAGGGAGATCACCTGCTTTAGTAATAAAACAGATGTGATGTAAATGGAAAAACTGTCCATGTCTATCAATTGTTATTTGAATTTGTAAACAGTGGCCTTTGTGTTTGAGGGTAGCTCATCCATCCTTGTTCTTCACAGATTAAAGAACCATGACACAAGGCTTGGACTCATGCAGAGCAAGGCTGGAGAGAAGAGTGGAAGAGGGTGAAAGCAATCAATATTTCTGTGAGTATCATGTATGTGTTTTAACTCGAAGTTCTTGACCTTGTACATCTGGAGTCTTGAAGACTTCCTGTCAGATTATAAGTACTATGACCTTTCACTGTTTTCTTTGCTTACAATGTTTTACAGGTTTGTAGGACCTGTTTTCTTCGCTTACAATGTTTGGGGTAGTGCATGGGGAGGTTCATATTAAGGGGTCCACTATTTCTTAGCACATTTAAAGAATGTACTACTTCACAGATGGGTTCTCATAATTCATCCTTTTATAGCCTCCTGAGTTAGCCTCACAGATGACAGCATCTAGATCTGTCCTTATTATAAATTCTTGAGTTAGCTTCACAGCTTACAACATCTAGATCTGTCCTTATCACAGACTCCTGAATTAGCCTCACAGATGACAGCATCTAGATCTGTCCTTATGATGTAGGAGGGTCTTCTTTCTATGTGTTGCTTTCATTGGTTAATTAATAAAGAAACTGCTTGGCCTAATAGGTCAGAACATAGGTTGGTAGAGTAGACAGAACAGAATGCTGGGAGAAAGACTTAGAGTCAGGCAGATGCCATGGAGCTCCAGCTGGAGATGGACACTGATTAAACTCATACTGGTAAGCCACAGTCAAGTGGCAATACAAATTATTAGAAATGGGCTAATTAAGATGTGAGAGTTAACCAAGAAGAGGCTAGATATAATGGACCAGGCAGTGTTTAAAAGAATACAGTTTCCATGTAATTATTTTGGGTAAAGCTAGCCGCAAGCCGGGCTGTGGGAAGCAGCCCGCTGCTCCTTTTATATCCTTATTATAGACTCTGGAGTTAGCCTCACAGCTTACAGCATCTAGATTCATGATACATTCATTAGATATGTTCTCTTCAAGTCCCTGTGTCGCTAAGGTATGGTTTGTTTATAGCATCTTTTCACCCATCTTCTCCAGGGAAAAGCCTGAGATCTGTTTGCTGAGCTGAAGAGGGGTTGGTGGAAAGTTGATGGAAAGTGTAACTGCCGACCTCAAAGGTTCTGGGCTAACGAAGACAGCACAGCTCCTCAGAACTCAGACTTCTCTTCTGAAGTCTTGTTTTCAGGACACAGACTACACATGGTTTGCCCAAGTGTACAACATCGTAGTCTTTTTTCCCCCTTGCTCCTAAAGCCACCACTCAGACCTACTCCTCTGCCTAGTGATAATTCAGATACTCCCGTTGCAATCATTTTTACTCCAGCCCTACAAACCCCAAGTGTCACGGGTATCATGGCCTGGGTGCGTTCACACAGGTCTGTGAAATGAACACTCAGAGACACGTTGAGAATGAACATAACCTTAGCAGTCACAAGGGTCCTCAGCCTTGGTGGACTGAAGCACTTTCTCTTAGCTCTTCAGCATTCTTACATTTCCCTATATTTACACTTCAGCCAGTAGATTTTCCTATGCTCAAAACAACCTGAATGAAGCTTTCAGAGATACTCTGTCAAGTGCAAATACCTGATTCATGAAGTATCACGGTTTTCTGGGTTTTCCCTAACCAAGTTTTACATATGCCTTATATCCATGGGACAAGATTTGCATAGGGCAACAAAAGGTGTCTGTAACATAACGGATGGATTAGGGTTGGGTTCTAACTCTGGAGCTAGGCTAGGTATGGCCCATTGCGGGTTTATGGCTAGTTGCAGGTGAGGGGAATGGAGTGGGAGGTGTTGTTGTTGTTTGCTATCCCTCTGGTGCCAGGCTGGCAAGATATTCTGCCACACCCAAGCTTTATTCTGTGCTTTTTTTTGGGTTCAAGTTCAGGCATCTCTTCCTGAGCACCTTTGAGACTGATAAAAGCAATGTGGATTTTTTCTTTAACTGGTTAGATTTATGAAATATTAGTATTTTTATATTTTAGCTTTTGTTTGAATCATTATGCAGGTGGAGTTTTCCTGTGCTGGCAGCTACTACCCATGAAGAAACTTAATGTTAATTGTAAATGCTTGGCTGATAGCTCAGACTTGTAACTAGATGACTCTTACATTTTAAATTAGCCCATATTCCTTATCTACCCTCTGCCACATGACTTCAGTTTTTACATGTCCTGCTTCCCCCGTGTCTGCTAACATTTCCTCTGACTCCACCCTTCTTCATCTCAGCATCCTTAGTTTGGTTGTGCCACCTATACTTCCTGCCTAGCTATCAGCCAGTCAGCATTTTATTAAACCAATTCAAGTGACAAATCTTTACAGTATAAAAAGGACTATTCCATAGAATCATTATATACTGAGTTCTAGGCCAGCCTAGGTTAGAGAGTGAGACCCTGGCTTAAAACAAGACAAGACAAATAAAAACAAAACAAAAAACCCAAACCAAACCAATACAAACCAAAAACCCCCTCCAAAAACAAAATGGAAACAAATAGATAAAATTATAGCATAGTTGGTTCTCTGAGAAAAAGTAGGAAAAGTACTTTAGGGCTATGTAAGTACGGATCATGATATACAGTTGCCCAGGGTGTAGACTCCTGGTCTAGACTGGCAATTCTTAAATTTATTGTAATCATGACCCAATTTAGTTGGAAATCTTTTTACATAATCTGTATTAAAATTAAATATGTACTGATAATAAATCCTAGAGAATTTTATTTTGAAACACTTATTCAGCATACTCACCACTTTGTAATTTATTAAAGAAAGGCAACTTTGAATACCAATGAGATGATGTGCTCTTTATACTTACACAGAGAATTAAATCTTGACCGAATATTTGTAGAGTATCTTCAACCATCCTCAGAGCTGATTAGTATCTTGGTTTCACAATCATGGAACTCAAGAATGCTGCTAGGTATAAATACATAGTACAAAATGGCAGCAGTTTGTTTGGAGGCATTCCTGAAACTGTTGGAAATTCTGTCCAATCCCATTCCAAAATTCATTCAATGACCTTGTATGAAACTCAAGCCAGCATCTCTGATAGCAATTTTAAAAATCAAGCATTCTAATACAATAAAATCAAACAAATGTTGACTAGATCCTTTCATGCTGAGGAATGATGATAGGAAAATATAAAAATTCTTCATTTTTTAATTGAACTGTTGCGTGTCTGCAAGTGCAGAAACATGGCGCAGGCGGTGAAAGCTGTAGTTTATAGTGAACTGGTCTGAGTGTTGGTGTGTGCTGTGTGCTGTTACTCCACATGCACTGTAATGTGCTCAGGTCATGTGCAGAACCAAGGCTGCAAACACAGCACAGGTCAGTGTTAGCTGGAAACACCCCAAATACATTACAGATTTGAGTTTAAAATAATTTTTGTTACACATGCAGAAACATCCTATTGCCACATTTGTTTTGCTACCTTTAATTCCTTCATGTGGCCTCTACATTGGTGGTGACACAGTTTGAGAAGGTAGGGTCCAAATGATGCAGGGTGGGACAGGACAGTAGAGTAAATTGGGAATGTTTTGGATGGGAAAGTTTCAGGTTGGAGTAACATAAGTTATAAGAGCTAATAAGTAGCCTGACCTAATGGGCCAATCAGCTTTATAACTTATAGAGATCTCCATGTGATTGATTTTCTTTGGGACTTGCCGGCTGTGGAGTACTGGGCGGGAGCAGATACCCCAACAAGCCGGCCCTGACAAGTTACATATGGTGCCCATGTGATAACTGAATCCACAGAAAGCTTGAGAAAGCTTGGGAAAGAATAGGGTAAAGCATGGCTTCTTGGTAGCAGCAATTTCTCGAGTCTGCTCTGCTTGCTAGAGGTAAGCAAGCGCTCTCATCTAAGAGAGGCTTCCTGACTCAGCTTTAGCTGCAAAACCTGCAGCTCTTTTAAGAGGTCCTGCCACAAAACACTTAACTGGAGTTGATGAAAAACTGAACGCATGCTTTTCAGTTTTCAGCCGTAGCAGGATAAAAGCTGCGCTGTTTTAAAATGCCGGCTTTCTGGGCTGTCCTGCCAGGGCAAACTCTGACTCTTTCAGGCAGGCAGTCCAACTGAGTGTGGTCTGTGAGCAGAATGCTGCAACTTGCTGGCAAGGACCTTGAAACGCCATAGAGTTGTGACAATAAAAATGGCTGCAGTCAGTACCTCAGCCATGAGGCTGGAAAACTAAGGAATGGGCTAATTCCAGCCATAAAAGACACAGTTTTAGTCCTTTCCTTAAAGACTCATGTGGTCAGAAAAAGAGAGATGTACAGTAAAGAGAGATTCAAAGACGAAGAAAACCTCTAAATGGTTTATAGTGTATTAAAAATATATGCAGGCTAAAAGGTTAAAGTCATTAAAAATAAAAAAGAAAGAAAGGGAGATATAGGGTGTGGTGGTATACACCTTTAATCCCAATGCCTTGGAGGCAGAGGCATATTAACCTCTGTGACTTCAAGGGACAGAGGTAGAGATTGATCTCTGTGACTTCAAGGTGGTACACACCTTTAATCCCAATGCCTGGGAGACAGAGACAGACAGATCTCTGTGAGTTCAAGGTGTGGTAGCATGCACCTTTGAGCCCAGCACTGGGGAGGTAGAGACAGAGGAATCTGTGAGTTCAAGGACAGCCTGGTCTACAGAGTTATTCCTTGACAAAGATATACAGAGAACCTGTCTCTAAAAGTAAAAGTAAAAATATAAGAAATAGAGGTTAAAGTAAAGCCACATAAAGATGGAAAATAAACAGAGAATCTTGATACTGTATGCTATTATGCTCTCTTTGAATTGTTTGATTGCTGAGGAAGGAACAACAGCTGCTAAAAGACTTTTGTTTATAAATGCTGCAGAATTAATCCAAGATAGGTATTTTGAAAATACCTTGACTTCAAAATTGAAGTCAAAAGGTATGTTACTTTGGAGAAGAGATTTTGCTTTTGTTTCCACAGAGAATGAGAGACTGTGGATTCATTCTGAGTTAAGAAAAATCAGGTTTGAAAAAGGAAGACTACCTGAGAAATCTCCGATAGGAACAGATGTCCCAGATGACAGAGTTCTACATCCAGAACAGATTCAAGACTGCTGCCTGAGATGATTAAGGCTCACAGGATACTCCAGTCAGGACTTGATTATAACTCTAAATTTTCTTTAGGTCCCCATAAGATCATCAGTGCCCCCAACCAGCACTGAAGTAGCCTGAAATACTACGCCCACATTCCCAACAAATGGACTATGGGTATTTTCCTTTGTTTAAAAAAAAAAGAGGGAAATGGTGCGGGAGAATTATCTGTATTCTGTCAATCATATTTTAATAAAACGCTGATTGGCCAGGCAGGCAGTATAGGCAGGAAAGCCAGACAGGAAGTAGAGGTGGAGTAAAGAGACTGGGAGTATTCTAGGAAGCTCCTTCTGCCAGTTCTGCCCAGAGGACCGGAGAGGAAAGATGTAAGCTGCCCTGCTGGAAAAGGTACTGAGCCATGTGCTAACATAGATAAGGATAATGGTGTAACATAAGTTGTAAGAGCTAATAAGTAGTCAGAGCTAAGGGCCAATCAGTTTATAACCTAATGTAGACTCCTGTAGGGCCCTGTCTTCCCTGTTCCTCGAGGCCGAAGCACAGGATGCAAAAATTGTTTACGCTAATCAGCTTAGCTTCCCCTGCTCATTCTGCCAGCTGGAGGGAATTAGTTCAAAGCCTTGTTTCTGTCTTTGCTATGATAATTTCACCTGCTAAGGAAGGTCCTCACAGGCGCCCTAAATCTCCTCCCATCTGTCTGTCAGGGTTCCCAGCTCGATACCCCCTACATGGAGGCTCCGGTCGCTGGTATCATGCGGTCAACACCCCTCTTCTCACTCCCAGGTGGGAGGGGGCTCTCGTCCTCTTGCCTCCAAGTATATAAGCCTACGTGCGCTGAATAAAGTTGACATTTACCCTTTGGGCAAATGATCCGGTCTCTCTGTGTGTCGTATGTCTGTTTTCAACTCCTAGGATATTGATCCAGACTCGCGGTCCTGTATGGGAAGTGCGCCCTGTACCAGAGAGTGAGGTTTCACAGATAAGTGTGGGACAGACTCCGTGTGATTTTCTTTGGAACTTGCCGGTTGTGGGGTACCGGGTGGGATAGAAACCCCAACAAGCTGGCCCCATCGTGTTACATTAGCTACTTGTGAAGAACTTCTCCTTCAGCATAAGCTTTTTCTCCACAACTCTGGATCACGTCTGAGGAAAACACTCAACTTGCTTCTCTGGATTGGACCCCCAAGTGGTTTTGGTTTGACTATGGGCAACTTTGTTCCCACGGGAACTTTTCTTTTTGTATTTAGAAAATTACTTTTAAGTTAGTGTATAGAGTAATGATCCTTATTATAGCACTTTGACACACACACACACACACACACACACGGAGAAAAATATGTCTTTCTAAGTCTGTCCTATTTTGCTTAATGTGATGATGTCCAGTTCTATTCACTGTTCTGTAAATGTTGTGCCTTCATTTTTCTTTATGGATGCACAATTCCATCATGCATGTGTACTACATTTTCTTTATCCATTCATCTGTTGATGGAATCTGGGCTGGTTCTGTTTTTCAGCTACTGTGTTGGCATTTCTTTTCATGAAAAATTTCTGGGAATGTTGGCACAACCCAGGGATGGAAATCCACTGTGCTTGTGTTTATGCACAGAGGTTTGAGAGTCTCACTAGAGTAGGATTTCTGAACCTGCTGCTCATTTATGTGTTGTGTAAAAGGTTTGCAGTGTGAAATACTTTACTTAATAAACAAGTGTATTAGGTTGGATACTTAAAAACCTTTAAAGCCTCACAGAGTGAGTTCACTAAAAGCAAATGATACGATAGAGCAGGAGGACCAGAGGCCCTAGAAACTTCCAGGCATATACCCTACTTCCATTGATTTGTGTAAAAACATTAGATGAGAGTAAAAACAACAAGCAACAAACAGCAAGGTTCGACATTATGAGACAAGGTACCTCCAAAGATGCCATTGGGTTTGATTTCTATTGTTCATTGACTGCTGGGCTTGTAGCCTACTACCCTCAAGAGCAGTTTGTTTCCCCAGTGAGACTCCCTTGGAGAAAACTCAATTTCCATTCACAAGTAATTATCACTTGGAGACTCTAGAGTCACAGAACTTATGGAATGAATCTACATAAAAAGGGACTTTTTTTTTGAATGACTTAGGGCGGCAGTCCATCTAACCCAACAATGGCTACCTGAGAATGGAAAGTCTAAGAATCTAGTAGTTTCTCGGTCCCACAAGTCTGGGTATCTCAGCTGGTCTTCTGTATTTGATGGAATCCTGAAGAAGTAGGCACTGATGACAATGAAGGAATAGATGTGCTAAAGGGCAAGGGCAGGCAGGTGAAGAGCAAGAGCTTCCTTCTTCCATTTCTTTATATAGGGCTTCCAGCAGA